CCAAATCAAGGGTACCTTTGTGTCCCGTGCCTCGCGACCCGTGCCTCCTGCATTCCTGTGGCCATGTGGCCCCCGGCAGGGTTTGTCCTCTCGCGTGTCCTGTCCAATGAAGTCCGACTGTACCCATCGGTCGTTGAAAGAGTCGAGCGGCTTTCCTACTTCAAGAGTCGAGCGGTTTTCCCTCTTACCTCCTCTTCAGGGGGCGGGCGGAAGCCCAATCTACTTCCAGCGCCTTCCTACTTCATGTTTCTACCTACTTCTTCCGACCGATGGGCACCCCTTCTGTTCCCCTAGCCTCAGGCTGTGTGTCATCCTGCTGCTCTCGCATCTGCCGGTGCCCAGGTGGGGTCATTCGAGCGGGGGCCGATTCGCTGGTGGGGCTCGGTAGGGAGGTATTCGTGAAATATTGGGGCAAGGACTGGTGGCGGCCCCATCGCTTGCACTGCTTCCTCCTCCTCCTCCTCCTCCTCCTCCGCCCTCCTCCGCCCTCCTCCTCCTCCTCCTCCTCCTCCTCCTCCTCCTCCTCCTCCTCCTCCTCCCCCTCCTCCTTCTCCTCCTCCTCCTCCTCCTCCTCCTCCTGGCAGCAGCGCTGACATCTGACGGAGCACTGCGTGAACTGCCGGCTCGACGTCGGAGAGAAACGGGTGCCAGTGGCCTGCCTGTGCCTGCCCGTATCGGCGCACGTGCGTGTAAGGTGCGAAGCGAAGTCCGCTCCTCCCTGAGGTCTGCTGCCGTGCTGGAGGTCGTTCCGTGAGTGCTTGGCAACCGTTCCGTAAGTGCTTGGCAACCGTGACTAACCGACCCCTCAGAAGCTGAGAGCGATGCTTGGCAGTCTGACTCGCGGTGTTGTTGGTTTGCCTGGAGGTTGCTGGTCTACCTGGCGTCCAGCCCTGCCTTGAGCAGTGCGGCCGCCCATCTCCCTTTCATGCTCAAGGGTCCCACTCCGCTAAGCTGCATATTCGCGAAAAGTGGGTCCCCATTGGATTGCGAGCTTCTTGGGCCCCTGTAACGGTGGCTTCCTGAGCGCTCATTTGCGCCCTGATCCAGTTGTCCGCTTCTTTTCTGGGTGTTCTCACCGTCCTCAGCCGTCAGAGCACGATATGAATTCATGATACTCCTAAGCTTAGCATGGGAATCATCGTTCTTCTGAGAGCCTTCTTGCTGCTGGGAACTGCTAATATCAGCATCCTGGTCAGAAGCTGATTACGAACATCTCCCCCTTAGCAACAACATCACCATCATTGTCCAAGTGGTTCCCTCCTAACAGCGTCGCTAGCCTGTCCTAGCCGGGACCACTCCATGGACGCGTTGGCGTACATCTCGGCAGTATGCCAGGAGGGACGCCACTTTTCTTGTGACCTGGGTTCTCGGTTGCGTCAAAGCGTCGGCCACCTCATTCCAAGGGCATCTTAGCCTGTCCCCGAATGCATCGTGCTTGTGCTTGTGTGCGCGCACTCGTGCAAGGCTATGTGTGCCTGGCTGACGCTGGCAAGGGCAACATCGGAACCTGAAACGAATTCCCCTCCTCCTTCTCCTCACGACCCTTAGGACGGCTTGAAAGTCGTTCCAACGACAATTAAATGGCGGCTCGAGACCGCGCCGCTCTCGCAAAAGGTAAACAGCCCTGCCCCGCACCCAGGCTAGAGCCCATGCAAGGCCGTCAAGTTCGGATGGTGTGCTGTTCGGATGGTGTGCTGCTAACCTTTGCCCAGTCATGCTCGCGTCGTAAACAAAAATCAGGACGAAGGTTTTTTGTCGTTTTCGGCCTCTGGAAGCCCTTGCTGGGCCCCGGAGCCGTCAAACAACGACCCAGGAGGCAAAGCTACTTCTGGGGCAAGGGGCCGGCACGTCCGGGGATGCCGTACTGCAAAAATCAGGACGTCGCATGTCTAGGAACCTTTGCCTACGGCGGGGGCGTTCGTTCAGGAACGTGCCCAGGAGGCTTCAGACCATGGAGGGTTCCTTATCCATCGAGTGCGGCGATGATGCCCATGGCCGATCCACGATGGGAGTTCCGCGGGCTTCCAGACCCTAGATTCCTGATCCTCAATGCTTACCAGCCAATCGGGACCGAACCCACCGCGCCTCTGGAGAGCGTCGAGGGATGCGACCCGCGGCGGGCCCTGGGCGTGCGCGCGTTGAGTTCCTTGTTGGGAGCGGGCAGAAGCGAGATGAACCAACGTATGCCAGCGAGTCCGCCGGGCTTGAGGCTGCTGCGTCCGTCGATGGTTGTAGCGCGCGCGAGCTTGGCGGCTCTTATTATTGGCGTTGCCAGAGAGGGCACTTCCTGGAACCACTGGACAATATCCAGTGGTTCCTTATCCAACGCCTTCACCGTGGTCGTGATGCAGCGCAGTCCTGTCGGCAGTCCTGCCTGCAGCTCCTCCTCCGAGTAGGAAACCGCTCTCCGTGCAGGCCGTCGCCAGGAGGCCCAGCTCGACAGCCCGGGGGTCATCTGGCAGCGAGCCGTCGGTATACACTTACGTCGGGCCTGTCCCTCTACAGGAGGAATATTCCAAAACAGTCAAACCATACTATGGGGTCTAGTTTTGCATATGTTTGACTATTGTACGGTATTTTATTGTATGTTTGAAATTTTTCGCCCGAAATCCCCTGTAGGGGGACATGCCCGACTTCAGCATACGTGTGCAATACATGGGGTGTATCTTGCCTGTTCTCTGCAACTTCGACTGTCATGCCTGCTGCTGCTACCATGCTTACGTGCTCCGTGTCATTCTTCAGGTTGGCCCCAGGGACCGTGGTCTTGGATGGCCTCCAGCACCCTGTGAGCCCCTGTGATGCTACAGGTGCCCGTCTGGCTACGATCCCGATTGCGATGATCTTCTGGCAGTGAAAACTCAAAGTTGTGCGCTCTGAAATCCGCATCGTGTTCCCCGAGGGACTGGAGGCGCCCCTGGAGGCGCTGACAAAAATGGGGGCTTCACTTCTTAATCAAACATGGACGTGCCTGGCTGGCTAGACAAGTAACTCCGGTTGGCTTCGGTCCGCCAGTGGCTGCACAGCAGCTTTCCCGCGGTGCTCGCACAATCGACGTAAGCATCCATTCTCGTTTGGTGATGAGGCACCTGCACATGCCTCAGGTACCAGATTGACGTGCACTTTATTCTTGGCTCTCGACTTCAAAGCTGTCTTCGCCTGACCCCGCTTTCTTGTCGTGAACCCTCGGCTCCATCGTCCTCCTGCCCCTCGGCTTGTCGAATGAGTCCTTTTTTGACTGGAGCTGGCGACGACCCTGAAGTAGGTGGTGATGCTGCTCTGGCGTATGGGTGATGACGCGCGGGTACGGGCACTTCGAGCTGGACGCCTTGCTTCTCGAGCGCTTTGAGAACAGCCGTCAAGGCCACATGCGCGGTCTGCTGCGACATCTGCATGCTGGCGAGCTGCTGAGTGAGGAGTTCAACTTCTGTGGAACTTGCCGTCAGACCTGGTTGCGCTGCAATCTTGGTGTCGACCTGCATTTTCCCACGTTCAAGTTTGCTGTGACCGTTTTCAATATCGTCGTTTCTCGTGCTTCCTTCATGCTCTTGATCAGCAGCTTGATCTCTGTTTTCTCGCCCTGGTGATCTTCGATCTCCCCGTGTAGCTTTCTCACCTTGCGCCTTTTCTGCTGGATGCTGTCCGTGCTCTTCTCCAAACTTGTACGACGCCCGAGGGTCTGAGATGCAATCGGCTTGGTACTGAGCAGCGCTTACTTGAGAATGGCGATCTCCTCCTCCTCGTCTGCATCTCGATTGGACTAGATCTTGGCTGTCACGATGGTTGTGAGCTTGATCATCCGATCCTGAACCACCTTCTTGAACTCGTGAACTTCCATTCCCTCCAATGCCTGTGCGATCCATGTCGGGTGTGATGCTGCCTCTTCTGGGGGAGCTGGAGTGATCTCGTTGATCATCTTTATGCATGCCTCTGCGTCTTCGTGTGGTCGTCCTTCGTGCTGTCCTGACTCTATCTGGTCCGACTGGGCGCACGACTCTGAGACCGATGATGCTTCCACTCCCATCCGCATGAACACTTCCACGGAGATATCGGTAATGTCATCTGGCATCTTCTGCAACTCCTCCATCGTTTGGACATATGGTGCTGTGATGGCTTGACGCTAGTTTCGACGACTCGGATATCCTCATAATCACGCGGGCTATTTCACGAAATGCTCGTTGATGCCTGTGCCACGCTCGTTACCACTTGCGCTTGCGAGGGGCAACGGAGGGTATAACAGGGAGAACGGAAGATGCAATGGTGAAAGAAGAAGGCGGCGGAGAAAATGATCCCCAACGCAAGGCCACATCCTGTCCTGGTCCTCCTCCTATTCCTCCTTCGTCCTCCTCCTGCTCATGGCGGCCCCGCCCCCCTCCCTATTAGTTATGTAGCCTCTGCTGATGCTCGAGGATCAGGCGTGCGCACGGGTGCTCTGGCGCCTCTGAGTGGCCCCATCGTCGAGCGAGGCTGGCGAAGAAGCACCTTGCCTACCTCGTGGCGTCGCAGTGCTTTCTGGCCCCCCCCCCCAGGTCAGAGCCCCCCTTGGCATGGAGCCCAGACATTCGACGTCCTGATTTTTTCAAGACGGCGTCCCTGGAAGTCCCGACCCTTTCCCCGGAGCTGGTTTCTCGTCCCGAGTCGTTTTTTGACGGTCCCGAGGCCCGGCGAGGGACCCCCAGGGCCGAAAATAGCCAGCAATTTCCCGCCCTGAATTTTTGTTAACGATGCGAGCATGTTTGGGAGCTGGAGGAGGAGGAGGAGGAGGAGGAGGAGGAGGAGGAGGAGGAGGAGGAGGAGGAGGAGGAGGAGGAGGAGGAGGGGAGGAGGAGAGGAGGGAGGGGAGGAGGAGGAGCAGGAGGAGGAGGTGGTAGGAGGGAGGAGGAGAAGGAGGAGGAGGGAGAGGAGGAGGAGGAGGAGGAGGAGCAGGAGGAGGAGGAGGAGGAGGAGGAGCAGGAGGAGGAGGAGGACGGGTCGCCTAAGCCCTTCGGCATGGAGCTCAGGCCAGCCGTTTCGGCTCCGCGGCCCCGCGGGACCGCGGCCCCGCCCATGGTCGGCCGAGTCCGCGCGAGCGTCGCCCGGGGGCGGCACACCGCCCGGGAGCAGGCCCCTCTGCGGGAGCAGCTGCTGAGCACCGCCGGGCGCGAGCCCCTGCCGGTCGCCGCGTCGAAGAAGGACTTTGGGCGTTCGGCAATCCGAGGGGGGCCCGGCGAGCCTGGGCCTGCTATCGAGCAGCCTCCGTCCGCCCCCGCTCGGGGTGCGGCGTCTTCCCCGACCCTTTGCTCCACGTCCTCCCCTTCCGTGTCCACCCTCTCCTCCTCCTCCTCCTCCCTCCTCCTCCTCCTCCTCCTCCTCCTCCTCCTCCTCCTCCTCCTCATCATCATCATCACCACCACCACCACGAAAGGGGGGCGTCGAGGGTTGCACGAAAGGGGCTCTAAAGGGGCCCTAAACGAGCCCCCTGGGGCCCCGAAGGGGTACGAAAGGTTCTCGAAGGGTGCACCTTTCTTACCCTCCCATCTAGCGCCCCCCCATTCGTGAACGCCCGAGGACTTGTATGGCTCGAAGACGATTGGGCTCTATGGCGGGATCATGCTGCTCATCAACAATCTGGCCGGGCCCACGGTGTCGCTGATGCCGTCGCTGACGCAGGAGGCGGGCTGGATGGCCGCGGTCACGGCGGAAGTCGCCATTGCGATGTTGGCCGCTGCGTGCGGCTTCATGATCCTGGCCGCTATGCGCGCCATCCCTGGCAACAAGGATTTGGAGCTTCGGGTTGAGTACATCGACGTCGTGAGGTTCTACATTCCAGGTGCTTGGGCTGTCCTCGTGACCCTTTCCTACATCGGGTATCTGGTCATGACTTTGATGGCTTGCATCATCCAAACAGCACAGGTCATTGACTATGTTTTCACTGACGCGCTGGGGTCTGCATACGGCCTACAGCTCTGGCCAACGCTGCAAGTGACGTCAGGCGTCTCCACGGGTTCAGATACTCCCTTCTCCGATGACGTATTCGTGTTCTCGTTTTCATTCATTGTCGTAGCTGTGGTTTGTGCGCCATTTGCCCTGAAGAATCTCGATGACAATATCACATTGCAGTGGATTGCAAACATCGGCTTCTCCGTGATTGTGGCCGTATGGCTATGTTTTTTCACCAGCACGCCAGAGTTCCCTATGCCAATTCCCGTAGCGACCAGTTCTCAATTTGGGTTGGTCAACACTTTGTTCTTCAATTTTGCAATGGCTACATCGGTTCCTTCTTGGGCAAATGAGAAGTTACCAGATGTATCTGCGTCGGTCAGCTTTTCGGCGTCTCTGGGTTTCGTGGTCATAATATATTCTGCTATTGGGATTGTTGGTGCGATGGCTTTCCACCCTTACTTTCAAACGGACCAAGATCTCTTCAGCAAGCTGAACGACTCTGGATCCCTGCCCCTGCAAGCGACTGTCAGCTTATATCCTGTGCTTCAGAATTTTACATCGATTCCTGTCTTCTCAATCATGATCAGGTACAACCTGCTAAAGCTGGACCTCTTCGAGAAGCGAACGGCCACCTTGCTGGCCGTTGGGCTGCCCTGGGTGCTCAGCATATTTCTCTACACAGGCAGCGGCTTTCAGGATGTGTCAAACATCGGCGGCATTGTCTTCTCGCTCCTGATCAACAACGTCATCCCCGTCGTCGTTTACCTCAAGTCCACCTGGAAACGCAGCATCGCGCTGACGGTGCAGCGGTGCTCGTCCGCGAAGGTGTCGGCAGACGCGGCCTCCCCACCCTCCGCCGAGGTGGGCGCCGGCCTGGTCGTGGCCGTCGCTTTCGCCGAGGACGTGAGCTTGAAGAAGAAACAACTGCATAAGCATAAATTCTTGGAGTTCTGTGCGGACTTCTAGGATCGTCAGACGAGGAAAAGGTACCAATACCGCTGCCCTTCGCCCGTTTTCCTTTGGGGCCTCTTCGGAGGCCCTAGCTGCCACCGCTGGATTCGCCTCGAAATTCTGGTCAGAACGCACCCCTGGAGAGGTCCGGGGAGTAGCCGTCTTGGTGGTACCTTTCGATTCCCCAGCTGGGCGTCCCTCCCTTTCGCGCGGAGATGGGGCGGCGCGGGAGGCGCCGCCAGGGGGGCCCAGCGCCGACCCGAGAGATCCGCGTGGAGCTCCGAAAGTTCATGGTTGTGCCGCTTTTCCTTCCTCTGTGAGCGACGAGTGCGTACGCGCTGCGGCGAGGTTTGTGCTCGAGGCCCGGCTCTCTGGCCCAGCGGGCTGGCTGCCAGCGCCCCGAAGACCGGACCTGGCCGGCGCGGAGTCGGTCGCCGCGCTGTGCAGGAGTCGACTGGCACGTGAGAGTGACCCTTCGCTGGAGTGACCTTTGGTGCGGGCCCTGACTCTTCCACCTCCTCCTCCTCCTCCTCCTCCTCCTCCTCCTCCTCCTCCTCCTCCGCCTCCGCCTCCGCCTCCGCCTCCGCCTCCGCCTCCGCCTCCTCCGGCGCCTCCGCCTCCTCCTCCTCCGCCTCCTCCGCCTCCTCCTCCTCCTCCTCCTCCTGAGCGCGATGCGACAGCAGCGGCCCGCGCGCTCGGATTCGGCCAGCTCGCGCCCCCGTGCGCCGCGCACCAAAGACACTCTTGCCCAGGGGTCAACTTTTTAAGTCGGGCGTGTCCCGGAGGAAGATTCGAAAATTGTCCCCAAAAATAGTCTTGGGACGATGTTTGATAATTTTTTGTCCAAAATCCCGCTGTGGGAGGACACGGCCGACCTTAGTCAGCTTGTGCGCGTGACCGAAGGAGGGGCGAGCGGCAAGGCGTTCTGGTGATCCCGCAGGCCTCGCTGCTGGCCGGGCTCAGCGAGGACCGTCGGAGGAGGAAGAGGTACCGATGCCGCCGCTTCGGCCGCAAAGCATGGGGGCCGTGTATGTCCTCGGGGTTCCGTCGTTAGTGCCTTAGCGTGCGCTAGCGTCTGGTAATCGGTGGTGAGGGGCGAGTGAGCATCGATCAGCATCGATTTGGCGCCGATTTGGCACCGGTCAGCGCCGACCAGCGTCGACTCGCAAGAGCCAGCAGGATGGCATGGGAGGCTCCCACGAGCTGCCACCGGACGAGACACCGCAACCCCTGCCTCGTTTCCCCCTTTCGGGGTCTCCCGGGAGGCCCTCGTCGCCACGGCCGGAGTCGCCTCGGAGCCCTTGTCGGAGCGCGCCCCGGGAGAGGTCCGCAGAGCAGCGGGATCGGCACCTGTCGGTTTCCCCGAGGACGGCACGGACATCCTGTACCAGAGCTGGGCCAACGAGGTCCAGGAGGGGGAAAAACACACAGACACCATTACTCGTCGACTCCCAGGAAAATGGAGAAAATATAAGAAATGTGGGGGGGGAGACGAACCGCCAGAACATGTGAAGAAATATGGGGGATCCTGGGATTTGTGTCTATTCATTTGTGTGTCCCTGGGCCCCTTTAGAGGTCCAGGCCTGCCGAACGTTCGAGGCGTTCGTGGGCGCGCTGAGAGCCGTCGCGCAGGAGCTCCACGCCGAGCACGTCGCCCCGTCCGACAGCGGCTCCGCGGAGCCCTCGGCGCAGAGGTGCGGCGGAGGCCCGGAGCGAGGGGCGGGGCCGCTGGAGGTGCTGCAGGTCAGCCACGCGCAGAGGGAGGGGGGAAGGCTTTTCAGAAGCACCCTGCTTTCCAGACCCCCTCGTGTTGCGCAAAAATGGCGACGTGAGGTTTTCCTCTATGTTCGGCCTCTGGGGGCCCTTGATCAGGCCCCGGGACCGTCGAGAAACGACTCGGGCTGAAGAACTGGTCCTGGGGAATGGGTCCAGACCTCTGGGGGTCGACGCCATAAAAAATGACGACATAGGGCGTCTGGGTTCCCGCGCAGATGTCTTGGATCCGCGCTGGCCCCCCCCCCGCGCCACCTCCGGCGCCGCCCCTGGCGCGCTCCGCGCGCCAGGGAGGGGGATCCAGCGCTGATCCAAGAAATTCGCGCAGAGCGCCAATCTGTTCATGGCGTTTCTTCTTGTGTTCTAGAAGCACCCTTCTTCTGAGGAGGCGCGGGCCTTGTCTATAGATGCAAGGCGGGCTCCTTCCAAGAAGCGGCATCCTTCCAGGAAGCCTTCCTTCCCCCCTCCCCCCTACCTGTTAGTCGGGCGTGTCCCTCTACAAAAGGGATTTTCAAAAATAGCCAGAAAATAATCAGGGCACGATGTTCTGACAATGTTTGACCATTTAGGGGGCACTGCTGGACTATTCTTTATTTTTCGTCCAAAATCCGCCTGTAGGGGGACATGCCCGACTCAACCCTGCCCCCTCTGCGCGCCGCCGAGCAGGGCACCCTCGTGGCCGCACTGTTCACGGACCTGGCCGTGCCCTCGAGCCCGGGGCCGCAGGCCGGGGCTCACTCCGGCCCCCGCCGGCTCGATTCTTCCGATATCGATGTCGACCGACTCCGACGTCGATCCTCGCAGGCCTGAAGGTTGACACCAACACCGATGTCGGCGGTGCGCCTCCACCGAGTGAGGAAGATCCCGATCTCGGTGATGGTCGTAACATTCTGGCTCCCAAGGTGGCCGAACTAATACCACCAACACCGAAATCTAGTCATCTTCCCTCTGTGGAGGCAACCCCCTGTGTTGGTGCTGGTGCCCATTTCTAGGCCTGTCGAATGCGGGCTTCGGCTCGGATCGGATCTTGGTTTCTCAATGGAGGCCTTACTTGCCCGCCGATCTTCGCCGAATCGACGTGGGTAGGCAAAGCTGGTGCGAAGACCGACAGCAAGACCTGTCCATTTTCAGCCGGGTTCGCTGTCGGCGTTGCCGCGGACGTTGACCATTTGAGACAGGAGCCTGCCCAACAGGGGCCGCTGTTGGTTTTGAACGACATCCGTTGTTGGACATCCTACCCAGGTCGAGGAGCAAACAATGGCATAAACATAGAAAGCGCGCCAGTGGATGACCCTGAGTACACAAATGGGGGGGGTGCTCGCAGAACCCCCCCCCTCCCCCCCTTCAAAGGGGGGGTGAGATTTTCGACCCCCCCCCCCTCCCCCCCTTAGGGGGGAGGGGGGTTCAAGGGGGGAGGGGTTCCAGACCCCCCTCCCCCTCCCCCCCTTGGCGCTGGAAAGGGGGGGGGTTCGACCCCCCCCCCTCCCCCCCTTTGCGCCGAACAGGGGGCTGGGGAGGGGGCCTCTCGGGTAGTGAGTAGAGAGTTGGGTGTTTTGAGTAGCGATTGGTGAATAGTGGGTATTTGATAGTGAGTGGTGCAAAGTGAGTCGTGAGTAGTGAGTAGTGGGTAATGGGTAGTGGTAGTAGTGAGTAGTGCGTAGAGATTAATGAGTAGTGAGAAGTGAGTAGTGGGTAGAGAGTAGTGGGAAGGAAGTAGAGAGTAAGGAACTGTGAGTAGTGAGTAGTGAGGAATGAGTAGTGTGTAGTGAGTATTGCATAGTGAGTAGTTAGCAGGGAGTAGGGATGAGGGAGTAGACAGTAGCGAATAGCGAGGAGTGAGTAGTGAGTAGTGAGTAGTGAGTAGTGTGCAGTGAGTAGAGAGTAGTGAGTAGTCATTGGTGAGTAGCGAGTAGCGAGTAGGGAGAAGCGAGTAAGGAATAGCGAGTAGTGAGCAGTGAGCAGCGAGGAGGGCGTTGTGAGTAGTGAGTAGTGAGGAGTGAGTAGTCAGGAGTCTGTAGTGAGTAATGAGTAGGGAGAAGTGCGTGGCAAGTAGAAGGGAGTAGCGAGTAGTCAGTAGTGAGTAGTGAGTAGTGAGCAGTGAGAAGCGAGAAGCGAGAAGTGGGTATTGAGTGGTGGGTAGTGAGTCGGGAGTAGCGAGTATAGAATAGTGACTAGTGAGTAGTGAGTCGTGAGTAGTGAGTCGTGAGTAGCGATTTGCGACTAGTGACTAGTGAGTAGGGAGGAGGGAGTCGTGAGTAGTGCGTTGCGAGAAGTGCGTAGTGGGTACTGAATATTTCGTATTCGGCAGCGAGTAGCGGATAGTGAGTAGTTACTGGTGGGCAGTGCGTAATGAGTAGTGAACTGTGGGTATTCAGTCGTCAGTAGCGGATCGTGGTTAGTGGGTAGTGAGTAGTGATAAGTAGTAGTGGGCAGTAAGTAGTGTTTAGTCAGGTAGTGAGTATTGAGTACTGGGTAGTGAGTAGTGAGTTGGGAGTAGTGAGTAGTGAGTAGGGAGTACGCAGTAGTGAGTAGGGGAGTAGGGAGTAGTGGGAGCGTAGTGAGTAGTAAGTAGTGGGTAGTGAATAGTGCGTATTGGGTAGCGAGTAGGGCGTAGGGAGTAGCGAGTAGCGAGGAGTACTGTGTAGGGAGTAGCGAGTAGCTAGTAGTGGATAGTGAGTACTGAGTTGTGGGCAGTGAGTAGTGAGTAGTGAAGTGTGAGTGGTGAGTAGTGGATAGTGGGTAGTGGGTCGTGAGTAGTGATTTGTGATTAGTGAGTAGTGGGTAGTGAGTTGTGTTCAGTGAGTAGTGAGTAGTTTGTAGTGACTAGTGAGTAGGGAGTAGGGAGTAGTGAGTAGTGGGGACGGACCGGGAACGGGGGGGAGGGGGGGGGATCCCTGACGACGGATCGGGAAAGGGGGGGGGGGCGTCCCCGACGACGGATCGGGGAGAAGGGAGGGGTCCCCCCCCTCCCTTGGGGACGTCCAGCGGCGCGCCTTCATAAAACATAAGCTTGTGGAGGTCCACGCGGATTTCTCGGATCGCGCCGCCCCCGGCGCGCTCCGCGTGCCAGGGATGGGGGGGTCCAGCACCGATCCCAGAGTCCGCGCGAGCCTCCGAACGTTTACAGCCGAGACTCTGAAACAGGGACCGCTCTGGGTTCGGAAGGGGCTCGCCGTTCCTCAGGTCCCGCCGTGGCTGCTCCTGTGGCCCTCCTCGCGCACCCAGGCACATCTGGTGCCAAGGAGGGGCGTCGCTCCTTCCTCGGCGCTCCTTGTTTCATCAGCCCGAGTGCATGACGCTCCGACCTCCTCCCGCCCCGTGCCCCCGACGTCATGCGGTTTGTCATCACATCGACCCCCGGAGGTCTGGACCCTCCTCCTCCTCCTCCTCATCCTCTTCCTCCTCCTCCTCCTCCTCCTCCTCCTCCTCCTCCTCCTCCTCCTCCTCCTCCTCCTCCCCCTCCTCCTCCTGCTCCTCCTCCTCCTCCTCCTCCTCCTCCTCCCCGGGACCGGATTGCCATCCCGAGTCGTTCTTGGACGGCCCCGAAGGCCGGCCAGGGCCCCCCAGAGGCTGAGAGTGGTGCAAAACTGCTCGTCGCGATGTTTGTCACGGCTCGAGGGGGGCCTGGGGTGCTCCTGCTCCCACTCCCGCTCCCGCCTCCCGCACGCCAGCAGTCTGCCCGCCATGGTGCACGGGAGTCGGCCACGCGCAGAGGGGGGGTAGGGCCCCCCGGGGAGGGGGTAAGGCTTCTTAGAAGCACCCCTGCTTCTTAGAAGGCGCGGGCCTTGACTATAGATGTGGGGCCGGCGCCCTTGAAGAAGCAGCCTCCTTCTCGGAAGCCTTCCCCCCTCCCCCTACTCCCTATGCGCGCGACCAGTCGTCTTTCCAAGACGAACGGCATAAACATAAACTTTCGACGTTCCGCGCGGATTTCTTGGATCCGCGCTGGGCCCCCCTGGCGGCGCCTCCGGCGCCGCCCCTGGCGCGCTCCGCGCGCCAGGGAGGGGGGGCTCCAGCGCCGATCCAGGAGATCCGCGCGGACCGTCGAAAGCCCATGTTTCTGCCGCTCCTTGCTCCCCTACTCCTGCAGCTGGACGATTCGTTTGTCGGGCGTCCCCGACAACTTTAGCGCCCGTGCGGATTGCCTGCGCCGTGCTGCGACGGAAAAGAGTCAGGAGGGGAAAGCACACACAGACAAATCATCATCAATCCTCAGGAACAGATGGAAACTATGGGAAGTGGAGGCGAAAACGAACATCCAGAAAATGGTATGGAAAATAGGGGAAGTCCTGGGATCTGTGCCTATTTATCGTTGTGTGTCCCTGGTCCCCTTGAAGCCCAGACCTCCGGCCGCTCTAATTTGTTCGATGCGTGGGCCCCGGAGGTCTGGAACACTTCCCCAGGGCCCGTTTCTCATATTGCGTGGTTTTTTGACGGTCCCGAGGCCCGGCGAGGGCCCCCGGAGACCCCAAAACGGCCCACCCCCGCCCGTTCCACGTTTTCCTGCAGCGTCGGCTCTCTGGGTCAGGGTCTCCACCCCGTCCCTGTTTCGGAGGGCCCCGAGACGGGCCCCTTGTTTTGGGCGTTCCGAGAAGCTGTCGAAGCCTTCCCCGACCGCACAGAAAACTTGTGAGGCGAAGGCCGGAGGCCGAAAACAGCCACCCAAACCGCCCGCTCCAATTTTTTTGGAGCGTCGCATCGCAGGGCCCAGACCCCCTCGAGTCATGAGAAAATCACGACGGGAGGTTTTTCTCGATTTTCGGCCTCTGGGAGCCCTTCCCGGACCTCGGCACCGTCAAAAAACGACTCAGGATGAAAAACTGGTCCCCAGGAATGGTTCCAGACCTCTGGGGGTCGTGCCATGAAAGGATCATGACGTCGGGGGTCTGGGTTCAGTGATGGAGGAGAAAGGGGAGGAGGAGGAGGAGGAGGAGGAGGAGGAGGAGGAGGAGGAGGAGGAAGAGGAGGAGGAGGGAGAAAGAGAGGCGAGGAGGAGAAGAGGGGGAGGAGGAGGAGGAGGAGGAGGAGGAGGAGGAGGAGGAGGAGGAGGAGGAGGAGGAGGAGGAAGGAGGGGCGGAGGAGGAGGAGGAGGCGGAGAGGGGGAGGAGGAGGGGGAGGGGGAGGAGGAGGAGGAGGAGGAACAAGTCATGACGTCGGGGGTCTGGGGGTAGAGTTCCTCCGGCAGGCGGCGCCCGCCAGGCAGCCCGTGCTGCCGGAGGTGGCGACGGGCGGCTTCCGCAGCCTCGGCGGCTCCAGTGCGAAGCGGGGGCCCTTGCGAGGCTGCTGCAGTCCCAGACCCCCTCGCGTTGTGCAAAAATCCCGACGGGAGGTTTTTTCCTGCGCGTTGTTCATGTCCAATTCTTCGAGAGCTCTTGGACGTTTTGTGGGGCCAAGATCCTTTCGTTTCTAATGGTTCTATCCTGGGCCTCTTCCTGGCCACTAGGGGGCCAGGAACAAGCAGAAACGAGCACAATCAGAAATGAGCATGATTAGAAATGAACGACGTGTACTGCAGTCCCAGACCCCCTCGCTTTGTGCAAAAATCACGACGGGAGGTTTGTCCCTACTCTCGGCCTCCAGGGGCCCTCACCAGGCCCCGGGACCGTCAAAAAACGACTCAGGATGAAGGACCGGTCTCGGGGAAGGGGTCCAGACCTCTGGGGGTCGACCCTGACGCTGAGCTGACTTTTGCGCTGGCCCTGTGGACCAGGGCTCGACCTGAGCGGTGGTTTCTGGCGATGTCGTGGGACGTTTTCTCGTTTCGATGTCGTTTTTTGCAGCCGAGGCGGAGTACAGACAAACCGAAGGAACACGATCGGGTCGACCCAAAAGGGGGTCCAGCGACAAGGGGGTGGTGCGATAGATTTGTGGGGTTGCAATACATCTGGGGCGTGCAATACATTCCAGGGCGCAAATGTATTGCTGGATTTTCGCGTGCAATGCATTACTTGCAACACAATGCAATGCAATGCTCTGGCGCAGCACGTTTGCAATCCAATTGCCCAAAATCGATTGCACCACCCCCTTTCGGCCAGACCCCCTTCTGGGTCACCCGAACACGAGCACTGTTAACACGAACACGAAGAACACGTCTCCATTTTTCGAGACGCGGGCCCCCGACCTCCCGACCACTTCCCTGGGACCGGTTTTTCATCCCGAGTCGTTTTTTGACGGTCCCGAGGCCCGGCGAGGGCCCCGAGAGGCCGAAAACCATGAAAAACTTCCGTCTCGATTTTTTCGAGACGCCCGATGTGTGGGGAGTCTCTCCTCCCCCCCCCCTCCGGAGGAGGTGGGGGGGGGGGCGGCCGGCCGCCCTCCCGCGGGAGGAGGAGCGCAGAGGAGCAGCGGCAGGCGGCGCGGGGGGGGGGGGCACTGACTGCGCGTGGGGGCCCGTCTCGCCCCTCCCCTCGGTATCGTTTGACCGCTCCCCATCCCCATCCCCATCCTCATCTCCATCCCCCATCCCCATCTCCCCATCTCCATCCCCATCTCCATCCCCCATCCCCATTCCCATCTCCATCCCCATCCCCATCTCCGCATCCCATCCCCCATCCCCATCCCCCATCCCCATCCCATCCATCGTTTGACCGCTCCCCATCCCCATCTCCATCCCCCTCGAGACCCCCACCAAACCACCACCCCCAGTTTGGGATACTCCCTCGAAGCCCGAAGAGGACGACCTACGTCCCCATCTTGGGGGTTGACTCGGCCAGTGGGGCCCAGGCCACGCCGCTGGGGATGGGGATCGCTTGAGCGATTCTCATCTCCCCCCTCCCGAAACAGGGACAGGGTGAAGGGCCTGACAACGACAGACCCGCGTCGTTAAACAAAACAAAAAAGTCAGCACGGAGGGTTTTCGCCGTGTTCGGCCTCTGGAGGCCCTCGCGCGGCCCCGGGGCCGTCAATGAGCGACTCGGGATGAGAAGCCGGCCCTGGGGACAGGGTCGGTCGCCTGAGGAGGACCGCAGGGGCAACGACAGGCGGGGGGGGGGTCCTCCTCGGAGAACGCGCGGTGGGGTCCTTTTCGAGGCCCTGGGGGAGCCCTTTGGGGGCCCCTGCGGGGGCTCCTCTGGGGGCCCCCTACAGGTGGTTCTTCGGGCCCGCACAGGGCCCCTCTCCCCCCCCCCCCTTACCAGTCGGCCCGGATTA